CATCGTTGTGGAGGAATTCTGGCCCGCTCTTCTTTACAACATTGCTTCAGTTCAAGAAGGTTTGCGGGCATTTGTTTATGCACAGCTCTCCTGAGGTCACGCCACAGCATTTCAGTCGGGTTGAGGTCTGGACTTCGACTGGGCCATTGCAACACCTTGCTTCTTTTCTTTTTCAGCCATTCTGTTGTAGATGTGCTAGTGTGCTTGGGATCATTGTCCTGTTGTATGACCCAATGTCGGCCAAGCTTTAGCTGCCGGACAGATGGCCTCACATCTGACTCTAGAATCCTTTGGTATACAGAGGAGTTCATGGTCGACTCAGTGACTGCAAGGTGCCCAGGTCCTGGTGTAATACATCATGTGTTGTTCATCTGAGGCTGTATTTACCTACTTTTGAGAACTGCGAAGGACCAGATGGTTTTTATTACATCCTGATACGTAAAACCATAGAACTCAAAGAGGCTGTACTTCCTTTTTCCCATGACTGTATATAGCCTAACCCTAACCCTCTGCATCACCAAGAGGCAATTCTCCTGTATTCTGCCTTCATAAGCATTATATTTGCATTCAGAAATGCATGCTGGAACTTTCAGCCTCATTTTGCCCAACGATCCCTGGGGCTCCAAGATTTTACCTGTGTGTTGTAGCTCTCGCCTTTTTAAATCGAACTGAGACAATGTGCCTATATATCCTTATGGGTTTAAAACTGCGCTGTGCAATTTCTTTTTATAATTTTACTATAACAAATAAAGCCACAAGGTATGTTTTTCACCTTGTTAATGTTCTATCAACATCTGAAGAGAAAAAGTCTGGAAAGTTATATTGTAAATGAAACATCTCCAAGTAATGTGACCCAAATTGCCCTCTTGAACTGAAGTCGTGGCAGTAAAATAAAATGTAGTTTCACTGCACAGTATTTAAAAAAAATGTTGTAATCATGGTTTGGACTTGTGCCAGCTACTCCTTTTACCACATCACCTAAGTGGGCAAGGTTAATCTCTTGCAACAAAAACTGGGTCAGGTCATCTTCAAGAATTCATTGTACGTCCAGCCCTTCTCAGAGGCTTTATTGTCTATAGTTCCGTGCTACGTAGGCATACAAAAAGAGATGAGGAACTATAATTGCTTAAAAATAAAGCCAGAGTATTTGGAGTTAAATTTTTCTGGGCTATCTAAATGAAATTGGGAGAAGTTTGAAAGTACCTTCCTCTATAGCAGTGTTTTTCAAACTTGGCAATTTTAAGATGCTGGCTGGGGAATTCTGGGAGTTGAAGTCCACACATCTTAAAGTAGCCAAATTTGAAAAACACTGCTCTAGAAGAGGGGCTGGCAAGGCTTAAGATAATTCTGGGCATTCTTATTGGTGCTATTTTCTTGTCCTAAACGGAAACAGCCTAATTCAGTAAATGTGTTGGAGTGATTTTACACCCTTTAAAACAGCTGCATGGTACGCCGCTACAATATCTTTGCACGTTCTTCTCTGATAGCTGGTTGAATACTTCCCCATGAAGACTTTCCAGCTCCTCGCGGGGGGCTGTTGAGCATCTTAATTTTGCTTGAGCCTGAACAATTGCACATCTGTTGATCTGTCTCTTTGTGGGTACACATGTGGTCTGCCAAAGCAGTCTGGTCTCCTGGTGACCACCTGGGCGAGTCCCCGCGGTTCTCTTGGCGAGGTTTTTCAGAAGTGGCTTGCCTCGCCACCTTCTTCCTAGGCTGAGAGAAAGTGACTTGGCTTTGTGTGCAAGGCAGCGCTAGAACAGACGGCCTCCCAGTTCTATCCTGTGCCGCTGCACCAAACTGGCACTCGCCAATCCAAGCGCTGCGCCCTTAACTGATCTCTGCTGCCCTTATGCTTCGCTTGATCAGATGTCGGATAAATATAAGAAGCTGCCAGGCTGGATCCGATTGAAGACTTGCTCGTCCAGCCCTGCTCTGCTCTCCTCCCCACACTTGCCAGCCCCACCCATTTCTCTGAGGCTGCCCTCTCTGCAAGTGCGCCAGGGCGACAGCACCGTCTTCTGGCAGCTCTCTGGGAGTTGATACGATGCCCGCAGCCAGGGCTGGGTCGAAAGAAAGCCTCCGCGTTTTCTCACGGACTCAGTTCACTGGGAGAGAAATTGCTCTAGAGCGGTGTTTCTCTAACTTGGCCACTTTAAGAGACGTGGACTTCAACTCCCAGAATTCCCCAGCCGGCATGCTAACCAAATCCAACCTCGCTCAACCTTTTTTCAAGATTAGCCAGGGTCAGCGAGCGGCTGCCACCAGCTGTAGACATTGTGATTTACTGCAGAACAAAAGTTGACGGTTTCTTGTGCAAGAACATGTCCTGGAGGTGGCGAGATTAATTTTGTTCCCTGAAGTTAAGAGGTCATTGAGTTCTCACTTTAGCTGATAATCGATGCAAGGTCTGCACCATTGTCTTAGAAGCTCTAATTTTAAAGCCCTTAGGCAGAACAGTTTTACTTTTTAAAAATTGTTCAGGCGCAACTTCCCTTAAGTAATAAGCGTGCTTTTAAAACGCTGCATTTGTTTGTCGTGGCACCCATAAAGATCCGTCCCGCTTTTCTGCCTTTCGTTCTGTGTGAGGGCTCCCGAGTAACGCTTCTCAATTTGTTTGGGAGGCAGAAGCCCGTTGCCACCCCAGCTGAGATTTGTGTGTTTTTAGTTGTTTTCTGCAGTTTTTAAAAAAGCAGAAATTTATTTCGGCATTTCCTGGCGCCAATATTCAGGCTGCTATTCCTGGGGACTGTTTTTAAAAAGGAGCTTCCGATGGCTGCAAGCTGTCCAGTCCCATCCTATGACTGCACTCACCTTTTGTTGCAGTTGTGTGTGTGTGTGTGTGTGTGTTGATGTTTTAAATTCAACTTTCCCCTCCAGAGGCTGCAGCGCAAATCTTGGTGGCCTTACAGCCCGCTCGCCCAATTTACAGAATACAGAATACTTTAATGGCCAAGTATAAAATATATACTTTAGAATTCTTTATAGAGGCCCTTGGGGTTTTTTTGTTTTTTGTTTTGGAAGGGTTTTCTCTGTGATCCTGAGAAGGTGGTGGGTTACTGCTCAGATTTCCAATGCTGGCTTAGGGTCCTCACTGCGAGGGGAACCTGTCAAAGCTGCTAAGAGTGGGCTGGTTCCAGGGGCCCCCGTGCCACAGTCGGTCAACTGGTGTTCTTTCCTTCTGCTTCCAGGTCAAGGTATGGATCTACCCAGAGGGAACAAGGAATATGAATGGGGATCTTTTGCCATTCAAGAAGGGCGCTTTCCATCTTGCAGTCCAGGCACAGGTGATTAATGCTTCTTCACAGAATTACTTGCCTCCCATTGATTGATCGATTGATTCCCCTCCTTTCCTTCAGGAGCTCAAGGCAACGTTCGTAGTATCTCTTCCTCCACTTTTTTCTCAACAACTGCTCTGTGAGGTAGATTGGGCTGAAAGAGAGGGTCTGGCCCAAAGTCACCCAGGGACCCTCCATGGCCTAGTCTGAATCTGAACCTGGGTCTTCCCAGGCCTGGTCCAGCACTACCACCACTAGACGCTACTACTGTGGTGTCCGTCTCTGTGGTTTAAGTTGTAGTCTGTCACACCCAAAGCAGCAGACCAGCTTTTCTTTAGTGGATGCACAAAATGGATAGACTTGCCATGTTTGGAGATGATGCACAATTGGGTTGGATAATTAATACTCTAGAACTCAGCCTTCCAAACACCTAAGATAGAATCAGTAACAGGACACAGTCTGAGAAATGCATTTAGGGAGAAAATGAAACCAAAGAAGAAGAAATCAAATGCACATAATATGTGTGAAAAAAGTCATGGGATGTTAGTTGTGCGCAAGCTGAATGTGAGTCAGCAGTATGATGCAACTGCTGAAGAGACAAATGCAGTTTTAGGCTGCATCAACAGCTTAATCATTTCCAGATTCTTTGAGTAGTTCCACTGCATTGGTCAGGTCTGTCTTGAGTCATCTCTCTGGTTCTGGGCATCACCTAGAAAGGTGGAAGCAGAATTCAGACAAGCTCAGTAAGGATGACTGGAGGAGAAGTCTAACGAGGATCGGCAGCAGGAACTGGATGGGTGTAGCTTTGAGAAGCCAGAAGTTCCAGAATTGATAAGGATGGTGGGTGTGCAAAAGAGATTCATAGAATAACAACAACGAGCAAACAGCCTGGGGGGGGCTAGATGAACCCATAACAGACTCAGGCATTTTTAATTAAGCTAAAAATGAGAATGGTCAGTTCAAAGGTCTTCTCTGTTACGATGTATGATGTGAGGAATGAACTCCGCAAGAGAAAAAGATGAACTTCTGTGAATTGTGGCGTGGAGGAAACTGGTTTGCATCAAGAGTATCGTCTTTCCGCACTACAGGAGATCATCCTGAATGTCCACTGGGAGCAAGGGGCACAAAGCAAAAGCCATTGTATTTTGGGCAGAACACGAGGGCCGAGGCCTCGGTGGAAAAGATGAAACGCTGGGCAGGGTGGATGGAAAGAGAAGAGCACGAGAGGTGGCTAAATGGAGTGCTGGACGCCACAGGATGCACCTGCGAGAAACATGTGCTGCAGCGAGAGACAAGATGACTCTCTCCACCCAGGAACTGGCTGCTGCTCAAAGGAGCTAGGCAGCTGCAACCCTTGAGAAATCAGGAGGTGGCTGCTCTTTTCATAATCCTGAAAGGGAGTCACGCAGAAACTCAAGGCCTGATCGCTTTTAGCCCAAGGTTGAGAATTGCCGAGAGTCTCTTGACTGCACCAGGCTGCAAATAGAACTAGCAGTGGGCCCAGCCTTGCATTGCAGAAAGACGGATTCTGACTGAGGAATTTGACAGTGGAACCTGTGGCCCACGGAGGTGGTAGCCTCCCCTTTGCTTGAGGCGGTTTGAGCAGAGACCGGGCGTTGGTTTAACTTGGATTCGTGCACTGAGCAGCAGGTTGGCCTCAGTGCCCCCTTCTGAGATTCTCTTCTTTTAATTTCGCCCTATGTGTGTATTGTGGCCAGCTGAAAGTGACGCATTTTGGGGTCCCATTTTCTTTGCCAAGTCCCCGAAGGGTGGACCTTGGTGGTTGTGAGTCCCGACCTGGCTTGGCCCTGGAGAAAACGGCCTGTCTCCAGCCTTCCTTGCGCCAAGGAAAACAGAGGTTTCTGAAACCCCTAGAGGAGTTGGACTTCAGCTCCCATAAGTCTCAGCCATTGGGAATTATGGAGCATGTCTTGCAAGCCACTGGTCAAGGAAGGCTGCTGGTTTCTGCCTTTGGAATAAGTTTTGCCGCCCCTTTGAGGTAGTCCAGACCAGAAGCACCAACCCTGAGTAGTAACATGACCTTTATTGCAAGGTTACAGGAACAGAGGTCTCAGGGCCAAATTAATATATGTTAATTATTTCCTCCCAGAACATAACTTTAGGACATTGCAAGAAACATGATTGAATTAAGAGTGGTTTTAACTGCATCTCCATCGACATTATGATTAACTCATTCCTTTTCTATACACATGCAGTGAGGTTCAAATTGTTCAGCACTTTTAATAACTTTCCCGCGTCCCTCCCATGCTGCTTTTTTTCTGAACTCCTGATTCCAGTCATGTGCCCCTTGGTTGACTTCCTTTTACAGTTCCCCGAGTTTCTGCCCTGTGCTGAGTTTCTCCTTTTTGAAGTGAATAAAAATCCATCGTAAGAAAAGGGTTCACGTGCTAACTCCAGCCCTGGTAGAATTAAGTTCTCGTTATTTTCTTCAATGTTATGTAGTCTAAAAAGTGACGTTTAAGTCACCCTGGGGGTCGAAAGACGGGGATCATTGTAAATAGAGTGGAATACAAGAAGCTCCGGGTTTTTGCTAACTTTTTTTGTCTCTGTCCTTTGAAGGTTCCAGTCATTCCTGTGATCTACTCTTCCTTTTCTTCATTTTACAACCCGGAAAAGAATATGTTTACATCAGGTAGGATAGCGCATAGCTTGGCATGATGTTCTGTTTCTCTTTGGAAGGTCCAAATTCTCTTGCAGATCTGTGCGTGGCTAAAAGGAATCCAGCTTTCCGGCTTTGTGAGCGTGCTCGGTTTTACTGTCAATATTCTGCCTGCAGATATGCATAGGTTCAAAACAGCATCCCTTCCTTCCTGATTACTTGATAGAGCTTTTGAAGAAGCAAATCAGATTTCCTGGCTAGCAGAGAACGCCCTTGAGAGGAGAGAGATCAGGAGGCCCTGTTCCCCGCAGTCCTTGGCAAACTGCCTGCTCTTCAGTCAGTTAATGATGCACATCTCAGCCCTTCCCAAGTGCATTTCTCTGGAAGGTCCCCCCAGTCAAAGCAATAAGTGTGACTCTGAAACACCTTGCAGGCAAAGCGCCCAAAAGAACAGAGGGGGAAACTGAGTCAGGAGGAACGGGGTCAAGAGGATGGGTTGGGGGCTGGGGCGTGCCTTGTGTGAGGGAGGCGGCTGTCTCGTGGGTCCCTTTTCCCAAATACTTGGAGAGTTGGGTCGACCAACCAACAGAGCTGCTTGCTGTAAATGTGTGGGTTGGGGCAGGTGGGCCAGGGGCCGTAGAGATGAATCTGGTATTGCCTCTTCCGCCTCCAGGCAGAATCCAGGTGGAAATCCTGCCGCCCATCTCAACTAAGGACCTGACAGTTCAGGATGTCGATGAACTCACCAGCCAGTGCTACACCACCATGAGGGAAACCTTCTTCAGGTTGTCAGGGAAGACGAGAGAAGCCAACGGAGAGGCCTCCGTCCTTGGGCAGTAGGGTCTCTTGCCAAAATGCAGTGGGGCTCAGGTGTTGGAAGGATCCCTCAGTTGCCCAAGACTGTTGCAATGGCCCCCTTGCTTGACGTTGTGGGGAAAACTCGTAGGTTGTTCCTAAAGAACTGAGTGAGGGGAGGAGGAAATTCAACTGGTAGATCTGCTCAAACCTCTCACATTCTTCTGGCCTTTCTCTCCCCACTTTCTTTTCCACAGAGTGACCGTAACCAAAGATTTCCGCTCTGGAAAGGCCCTCCCTAGTGCCCACAACCAGCGGTTTAAACCAAAGTGCCTTTTTTCTCTCCTGGTGATTCCAGGGTTTGGGGCCAACAGTTTCCTCCTTGCCCTCGGCACATCCGGGGGTGATGGTTGGGGCGCTTCTCCCCCTCCTCAGGCCCGGGGTCTCTCTTAGCAGAGAAACCATTGCGGTGGAACGGCCCAGGGCTTGGCGCTTTTTTCCTAGGGAAAATGAGTCAGGTCCCACTATTTTATGCAGCTACGCATTGAGAGAGGGAACATTCCCGAACCAGTAATGATCCTCGTTCAGAGCAGGAGATGCTGAGTTTTTGCTTTAATGGGGCTGCATCTATTAGTGTTGGAGGCAGGGTGCGTGGACACCCCACACGCAAACACACCGCAGGTCAGCTGGGAAGAACGTGAAGGACCACTGCTCTTTTGCCATTACGGCAACCGAGCAAATTCCATTCCCCGCCTGGGCTCAGCCAGGGAGTTTCGATGCTCGAGTGGGTTCCCACATTGGCAGCAGCGACTTTAGCACTAGTGCAAATATCATAATGGCCTTAAGTGGAGGTCTTCAGGGTACACAGAAGAAGTGGAGGCTGTCTTGTATGAGACAACTGCTACCCTCCCTCCCCACTTTAAATGTTGCTTAAGAATAAGCTTTCTTATTTATTGGGACAAAGTTTTCTCCCTGTTCTTTTCTTTGGCGATACTATGGCTATGTTGCAAGAACAGATATTTCAAGGACTGTATTTCCTTGGACAGTCATCAACGTTGTCTCACGTGTTTTGAGTGTTGGAGTGTGAAGCAGACGTGGTAACTCGGAAATTCTGAGATTCTTGTGATGGGGAAGAGAAGAGACCTGACAGGTGATGGTAGAAGTACAGTTGGGGAGGGAATTCCAAAACGGTTACGGATGTGCAAAGAGATTGGATTCAACTTACCTGCAGTAGTGTTTGGGCTTCCCAACTGCTCAGCAAAGCCCGTCCATTTTATTTTTAGTTTTTGTCTGACAGAGGGCACAGTGCTGCTAGTAACTCTTCACTAATTCCGTTGCCCTCAGCAGAGTTGTCAGTCTATCTGCTGTTGCGTTAGGGCAAAGATTCCCATCAGTGCTGAGGGAATCCAAAGGACTTTCAGACAGCCATTGTGCTGGCTTGGCATTGTGATGAAGAACATGCCATTTTGTCCAGCGTTCCCTGCAAGTTGGGCTTTGGCCTTGTTAAAATATAGTTGCTCTTCCCAAGCCTTGACGTTGATCCCATCTTTGTCATCAAAGCAACCCAATGAGACCACCTGCCTGCTGTTGACAGAGTTGGGTGTGCGCTTCCTTCCGTGTCCCAGGTGAGAAAGGTGAGCGTGTCTGCACTCCGTCTGCAGAAAGGTGTCCCCTACCATCTTCCTGCCAAAGCTTTGGCGTGGCCTCCAGCCCCAGGGAGGGCCTTGGAGTATTTTTTTGCCTGCAAGCTGTGACTTTCTGCCAGAAATCTTCACCCATCCCGCACCTGCCAACTGACTGTCTTGGCACTGTCTCTGAACTGATTTGGGCAGGATGGTGGGCTAGATGGTCTTCAAGGTGTCTGCCAGCCCTTGTGTTCCTTGCTAATGGCAGCAGTGACGTCCCTTGGCTTCATCCAGCCCCCTGTGGCCCTGCGTTGGTTCCCATGGGTTACTCTTCCATGCAGAGAGAGGGTTGGGAATGGGTCTGTGTGCGGCTCTGCTCCCTTCGTTCAGAGCAGTGTTGTCCAAACTTGGTCACTTTAAGATGAGTGGACTTCAACTCCCAGAATTCCCCAGCCAGCCATGGCTGGCTGGGGAATTCTGGGAGTTGAAGTCCACTCATCTTAGTGGCCAAGCTTGGACAACACTGGTTCAGAGGCTCCAGAGTCTCTGCCGGATCTCTGGCAGAAACACTGGGCTTGGTGATCAGTCAGCCTTACCTGGACAGGAGGACAAGATCCAAATGTCCAGGATTTCCGCTCCATCCTAGTAGGGGTCTTCTGTGTGTGCTTGGAAATCACAAGTTATCCTTCTCTCCCCACCCCAAATGTGGAATAAAACCCCATTTCCCACCTGGCTGGGGGTGGAGCGCTCCCCAGGGCCACCTCAGCATCTGCAAGGCCCTCTGAGCACAGACTGGCGTTCACAGTCCTCTGGATTCCCCATCCTTTTAAGCCAGTTTCGGCTGTATTTGCAAGGTTTGGGAACCCTGCTGTCGTCCCATTCTTCAAGATGGGAGCGGCAACTGAAAGGGGGGCCCCTCGAACTTCAGACAAACTGCTCCCCACCAGCCTATCTTCGGGGGACGGAGGCAGGAAAGAGTGCGTGGCTGCTGGGAGCGGTATTTCCGACAGCTGAAGAATGACGTTTTCTCATCCCTTCAAAACCGTGCCAAAACGTGTGCAAAGTGCCTTGTTGCAAAACCTTTTGATTGCTTTTTGGTATTTTCAAATGTACTATTTTTATAAAGCAATTTTATTTAAAGACAAGCAACTCTGATGTGGTGTATTCCTCCAGAAACTTTTGCTTTGGGGGATTGGGGGAGGGGGGGCAGAGGCCCACATATTCATACCTGTGTTAATTTACTGCGTTACATGCGTATCACATCATGGATTCAGTGAATGGTGCTAGTATTCACCTCGATACTGGTTTTGCCCACCAGTAGGGTGTCTAGATGCACTCCACGTGGTGGATTTCCTGATAGATTTTTGCACACATAATTCTGGTGCAATTAGCTCACTTTCTCTCCAAATGAAAAAAACTGGAAAGATGGTGAACCAACCATGTTCTCCGCGTTGAAACCAGCCAGACCCTCCCACATGTGGTTTCCAAGGGTTGAGGAGAGAAATCCAGCACAATTCAAAATGATGCTACCAAAGCTTCATTCTTGACACTTCCAAAGCCTTCAGAGCAAAGGATCTGCCCTCCAACTTAAATTCAAAGACATTTCCGCAGAGAGACAGTTAAATGTCATTTTCTCCCCAGCAAGCCTGATTTAGCACCTCTCCAGTTTTTGAAACTTAAAAATTCACTCAAAGATGCTACGGCAGTGGCGTTCCAGGACAGTTACATAAATGATACCATTTTAAGCTCTTCCCATTGTAAAGAAATTAAAGTCCACATCTTTATGTCTTAGCAAAGAGACGTTTTTACTGGAAAGCAGTGGCAAGCAGGGGACAGGAACACACCAGGTGCCCCAGCAGTATTTATATCTGATCAATTCAAACTTTTGCAGACTCAGCAAACCCCGAACATTCTTTTATGCTAGCTGTTTCCTTCCTTATCAGCGTTCAGCCTCATTCCTACCACTCCTAATCACTTCCTTTTGCTTCCATCTGACATCCAACGGCCGCCACGTCCTTGCTTAGATATAAAAAGGGAGGTCAAAAGTTCCCAGGCATCCATTAATTTCCTAGAGAGGTTACATGCAGGTTAAAATAGCTTTTTTTGCATACAAAATGGCTCTGGTCCATTCACAAATCGCTCCCACAACTCCCCCGTTGTGCTCTTCAAAGTACAGTATTTCAACGACTCCCACGATAACTGTCAGACTACATTGCTCGATATGTGCAGGGAAGCACCGTATACATAAGCGCATGGCCAGAAAAACATGCTCCAAAGACAAGGGGGGAAAAAGGAAAACATTTCCACTGTTGCAAAAAATCTTGTTAAAAGGAATTGGGCTCACCCATCTTCCTGCCTCTCGTACCTTAGCAAAGGCCGAGTCAATTTTATCCAGTAGCTGCAAACTTCTCTAGCTGCTAGTACCTGGTCCACGCAGGGCACTCGTGGAGTCCTTGCCACAGACGTACCTGGCTAAGCCGTCTAACTTCTTTGACGATGAGAGCTACTCTGCAGCACTGAAGTACCACGGGGTTTGGGTAATTGCCCGCTGGGGACGGCGCCATGAATTGGAGTTTCTGCAGCTTGATAACCCAATCCCGACCAGTGAACTGGCAGATGTTTGCTGGCACAACTGCTTCACGTGAAATGATGCCCCACCCGGGGCATAAACCCATTTGCACGGGAATGCTTGCAAGCGACAGCCTGTGGAGAACACCTCTGACGTTTCTATTAAAGGGAAAGGTACCTACGCCACAGGCAACATCATCTCCACGTAAGGGTGAAAACATTCAGGGCATCCCAGAGTCCATCACATGCCAAGAGGGGGATGTTGAACCCAAACCCACTCAGCTACACGGTGCCCCGGTCTGCTAGGTGTCACCAGACGTATGGGAAGACGTGCACAAATTCAACAGCTGGTTATGTTAACCCTACAAACAAAAGTTTTTAAAAATACATAAGCTGGAAGCTTCCTAGCATGGAGACAGGCCTGCTGGAGGTGTCCGAGGGAGGGAGGGGAGGCAAAAAAAAGTCAAGGTGGTGGCTCCAATCTTGCAGAGTCCCATCCCCCTTCTGTGCGTCAGACACAGGTGGAAGAGGCAAGGCTCTTGTTGCCATCTTGACTTTTTTAACCCCCCTGCTCTTTTCAGGTTGAGGGATACAAAGCCACGATGAAAAGTGTTCCAGCTAAGGAGACAGGCAGATCTAACTAGGGGCTAACGAGGCTGCAGCCATTCTGGCAAAGCAGAGGTGGGAATCTCCACTGGCTGGCTGTCTCAACGTATTACTACAGGTGAATCCTGGGTCTCCAGTTCATGCAATAAGAGTGAAATTCATACAAGCATTAGTAATTTCAAAGAGAATTAAGTCAGCGATCCATGGGGCAGAGGCAACTTTAACGAAGTCTCTTCCTAGTTTGCAAGTTGGCATAAAGGAACAGCTGCAGGTCAGGGCAAAGCCTCTTCAGTAAGGAAGAGGTTCCTGGCACCTCACCTTTCCTGACCTGGAGGAAATGCAACAGAGAACAGAAGGATCTCTTGGAAGGGATGGCAGGCAGGACTCTGCAATCACAGAACAGACCGACACGTCTGCTAACTCTGGCAGTCCCATCAGAGCCCACGGTCTTTGTCTAGCTGTGCAAGATGGGTTCTGGGAGGATGCCCAGCAACAGTCCCCCCGTGACACCACTGTGATTGTCGTCAGCCATTGAGTTCACCTGTTGATGTGGGCTGACTGGGCTGGGGGCAAGACAGAGACCGCGAGCGTTTCATCCTGGCCTCCTTTTCTCACCAATGTGCTATGCCAGAACTGCCCCTGAAGACAAGTTAATGCTGCAACGGGCCCCAAGAAGAATTTCCCAAGGGCTGGAGCTTCTGTGCCACTCCAGGGAGCCCACAGGACCAAATTTCACAAGGTGCCAGTCACGTTTGCTCAAGCAGCCGAGTTATTATCCAATTCTGGAACCAGCTTATTGCATGATGCATGGATCTGCCATGTTGACAGCCCTCAACATTTAACAGTGTAGCGGTCAACACCTCTGTCCAAGTGCAGCTGTTTTCTGAAAGCTGAGCCCCTCTCCAGGCCCCATACACCTTTTTTAACAACAGGAGCCTCTTAGAAAGCTGGTCTGGCTGACAGCCTGCCCCAAAAGTCGGCAAGTTTTTCTTCTGTGAAGCACGCGAGCATCTCAGCTGAATCCTCTCGCAACAGCCCCACTGGTTGAGCTGGATTTTTATTTGCAGACATGTAGACAGCACAGCTGGGTTCACATGTTAAACCAGGACTGAACACGCAGTTGTGTTCAGAGAGCACGCTATGCCCAAGACAAGCACATAAGGCAGAACACGGGCAGTGTTGGGTTCCCACAATACTGGTTGATAAAATACATCAGCTGTTTTGGAAGGCGAAGTACCTGCTAGTGAATCCCAACCCGCTTTACTGATTCTAGTAAAGAAGGGACACAGGAGAAAAGGTAGAGATTTTCCCTTTCTTAGCAGCTAAGGACATGGAAAACGCTGTGGGGCTTTTTCTACAGTGGGAAAACTTAGCAAGCAGGACGCTCATGGTGCATTTACATGGGGGCTGGTCTAGAGCCACCCTCCCCGCAGAAATAACCCTGTCCCTGCCTTGCCAAGCTATTTGGGTGACAGCCTGGAAAAGAACAGCTTCTGAGCTTTGCCCAAAGTGGGACTTTTTTCCAAACAGCTGCTCTTGTACCACATGGGGGAAGCGAGACCTGCCCACCGCCCCAGTATTATTAGAAATTGTTCGCTCAGCAGCAAGATGCTTCCTATTTCAAGGGAAGTTTTGCTATGAGGTGGCCTGTCTCCCTCCCAGAGCCCCTGGCCAGCAGGGTTCGGCACGGTGACATCCTGGAAGACGGCCAACGGGAGGGCGGCTCGCCGACAAAGTGGTATTTCCAGCCCCTTAATCCCCCGCCGCCTTTGCTTGACTTTGTTGCTAGAACAGGGCTCAGTTGCTACTCAACGGAGAGACACACCAGAAAAACAGTGGGACGAGGGGACACCAAGGACTTCCATCCTCCTTCTTCATCCTTAAAGCTGGTTCTTGCAGGAACCTGCAGGGGCGAAACGGCAAAGTCCACCCCTGGTTGCTCATTCTTTCCAGGGGGGGGGGGGGGGGGTGGACTGTGAGGGCAAAGGAAGGGGAAGAATGTGTGGCTGGACAGTGAGAGTTGGCTTCAGTGGGATAAAAGCATCTCTCCCAGCTATTTCAGAAGAGCTTGGAGCAAAATGGACTCCCCATTGGCCCTCCCAAATGTTGCTTTTTCTAATAGTTACGTTAAAGGTATTTAGGGCATATCCCCTGCCTCCAAATGGAGGTGGGGTGGCGGGGAGGAATCCCTGGTGCTGGTCTGGGGTCGGGGGTGTGTGTGTGTGGAAGCGCTTGTGGGGTCGTGGATCAGCCATCCATGCCTTAGATTCCTCCTGTGCTTTGCATCATGCTGCTTCTGTCAAATGGAAACCGTGGGATAGACCTGTGCACATGCGGTCAATTTGGAAAGGGTGAGGGGGGGGGCAGGCGGAAGGTCCATCCCTGCCACCTACAGGTCTCCAGCTGTTCCTCCAGGAAAGAGATCTGCTCGCTGAGCGAGTCTATTCGGTCCAACTGCTGCATCACGTGGACAAACAGGTGAACGGGTTCTGCCCCGGCGTCCTCTCCGGTGCCCGGCAGCTTGAGGAACGGCGCCAAAGCGAGCTGAAACTTCTGTTGAGAAAGGGAGAAGCATGATGGCAGGCACGGCCCTGAAGGTCTCCGCCAACAGCCACTGGCAAGTCAATGCGGCTTTGGAGCGCTTGTGCCGACAAAGGAACACCAGCTGTTGCTTGGGCAGAAAACAGCAGTCCGGTGTTGCAAGTGACCGGGCTAAGAGCGTTCCTGTGGGAACAGGATCCTGATGCCAACAGCCAGGGTGGAAACTCCTCTGGTTCAGCCCTCGGGGCAGAGAAGAAAAAGCTGGGCAGGGAGCAGGGAAGAAGGGCGTCCCCACTCACCAGGCCTCGTCCTCCCCACTGCTGCCCTCAAGCCTTCCTGGGGCCTCTGTGCTGCCCCCCATTACCTTGAGGACCTCAGAGGGGAAGGCCTCCCGAAAAGCAGGCGGGCAAATTACAGCTCTATCGCTGCCTCTGAACTAGGTGGTTGGTACCCCCGAGTCCTTCCGCCTTCCAGCCTGCTAAGCCAGAAAACCACGTTCCTGGTTTGTGTTCAGGGTGAGCCTAGCTCTGTGGTTTGTGAACATGGCTTACGCCCTGCTTTGGGAGCCCAGCCGACCCTGGGCGTTCACAAAGCCATAAACCAAGGTACTGAGGAGCATTCAGACTGCAAGAGGCATGGCAGGATTAAGCCCACTGTAGGAAAAGCAGGTCACAGCCGGTGGCAGGAAAGGTCCTGCCAAGATCCCCCAAAGGCAAGCCATTTCCATATTATGGCCTAGAAAACAGAGGTGTGTATTAAATCATGAACTGAGCTTGAATGAGAGAGACTTTACCTCTGTGCAGCAGTAGGTAGTGGCACTGAACTGATCTAGACTCCTCAGAAAGAGCCAAGCACTTGAATGGGAGACCATCAGGAGATCCCAGGACAATCAGCTAGGCTGGGGCCAAACAAGGCTCTCAAGGCAACAACAAACCACATACACACCGTTGCCAACTTAACTCCACAAGCTTGTTTGTGAAGCCCGCAAAAGTTAAGCTCAACTTTTCTAAGTAGAGCCCATCATCTTAATTACTAACCAAATTTTCCTCCCTGATCTGTCTCACCCAACGGATTGACGATGCCTAATGCCACTGTCCAGACAGCCCTCGAACAGGCACTTCTATCCCTAACCTTACTGGGGTTACTCGAAGGAGACTCACTTCTTCCAGAGCTGCCAATCTGCTTCTCAGATCTCTTACTTCATCCTGAACTGCGAGGTTGTCACTTCCTCCTGCACAAGTTCACAACAAAAGAGAAAAGCATCTGTAAGAGCTCAGCTTCAACATGCAACGCTGATTCCCAGGATAACACTGAGGGGCGGTGAGCAGCTCCAGGGAGGAGAAGGGAAGTGGGGTTTTTTTGAGTCTCTCTGTCTCTTGCCTTCTACTTCCTTCTGCTGAATATGCGTGGGCCAAATTTGGCCCAGAGCCTGGCGCAGGATCAGGGCTGAGCCGTGAGATTTGGCGCCAAGCTCCACCATCTAAGCAATTCGATTTAATTCAATTTCACAAATGCCAAAACGTTTAAAGAAAGCACATAGTATCTGTGGGTGGGATGGGAGACGATGTGCTTTCTTTAAACATGATGGCATTTATGAGATTGAATGAAATTCAATGATTCGCAGCAATGGTAGTGAGATGAAGCAGCCCTGCAAATCCTTTCACGGACGGGGCTGAGCCTTAACTTGCTGCCCCACGAGGGAGTCCAAGCACAGAGTTCCAGGAGAAACCGGGGCGGATCGTTTCTCCCCCAGCGATGGTTCTGTCTTGAGACAAACACAGGTTGGAAAACGGGTGTCCCCAAAAAGGAGCATTGCAGAAAGTGAGCAACATCTGAAGCTAAAGCAGGAAAAGCAAACAGGACGCAAACGTGTGCGTCGTACAGAGAGATTGTACGGGACACGTCAGAAGCCAGGCTGGAGCAGATTGAAAGGCTCCCTTTTCCTCTACTCCAGCCTGCCCACTTTAAGGCCCCTTCTGAGGCAGCCCCTAAAATCTGGGACCGGGAGAGGCTCTGCCCACAGGTCAAACATTGACATTTTTCTGTCCATTTGTCCTTCAAATCAACAAAAAGAACAGGCTTTCCCAGTGCTTTGCCCAGAAGAAGCCTTGGGCGAAATTCTCCCGGGCCGAGCGTGAGGTCCTCGTCCTTCTGGAGCCAGGAGGTGTTGGGGAAGGTCTTCTAGTGCATTGCGCAACCCTTTCTCCAGGGGTGTGCAACCTCCCTGGCTGTAAATCAGTTTAAGAGCTGACCTCAGGGAAGGCATGAGTTAAGGAGGGATGTGGAGAAGAGATTACACAGAGAAGGGTGAGGAAGAAACTCAACTCCACCTTGATTTTGTTTAGTGTAAGATGAGACAGACAGAAACAGGCTTTCGACGTTGATGTCAGCCCTTCGAGGTAGCCCTGGCTAAGGAACAAACACTGCAGGGCTTCCAAGAATGTTGTATTTATTGTTGTAGGATATGGTGAGAGACTCTCAAAAGCCTGTCCAAGTGTCTCTCAGTCCCTTCTCACGCTAAGCGAATCAAGGTGGGGTTCTCTTGAGTTTCTTTCTCACGCTTCCTTCTCTCTGTCCACGTCTCCCCTTAACGTCCCTCTCCTTCCTTCCTCAAGGCCAGATCTAAATTCCTTCACAACAGCTTCCAAAACTTCCTGGAAGACCAAGGCAAATTGTTCCCGGATTATGGCCAAGAAACTACACGGATGCGTCCAGGAGGTCATCAGGAGTCTAGCTTGACTCGAAGGGGGTCTACCATTATTAGAATCATTTTCTGATTTTAATCTTTGGAGTTTTTGCTGCTCTCCGAGCTTGGCTGTTTGCTTCATTCCCCAGCTAGATAACATCATCCGTGTGAGGGAGCGTCAGGTTTGCTGCCTGTTGATTTCCAAGTATCTCCAACCACGCAGAGCCCGTCTGGTGTGGGGTTAAGGTGTTCACGTCCACCGTCAGCTACAGAAGCTCACCAGGTGATGTGGACCACTTGCTGCATCCCCACCTGGCCTACCTTGCAAGCTTATTTTTGGGTGGGGTCTTGAGCTCCCGGAGAAGTGGTCCACCAAACACCCAGCCCCGGAAAATCCTTCTTCCCTTGCTCTGCCCAAGCGAGTCCCTGGCAAGGAGTGCGGGAAGGTGGCCCCAGACACAGCTGTGGCTTGAGCCAGTCTTCCCCTTCCACGCTTCGAGGGCTGGCGATGACGCGTCGCTCCGCTCTTCCTCTCCGGCGCAAGGGCTGGCCCTCCGCGCATTATTACTCACGGTACGAGTTTGAAGTGGCACAGCGCGTACCAAAAGTAATAATGAGCCGCAGTCAGCCGGGCTGTCTCCTCTTCCGGCTTCGGGTGCTACGTGGAGAAGGCGGGCAGGCAGGTGGACCGCCCGGAGCCGAGGAGGGCTGGTGGTGCCCCCGGGAGGCTCGAGGCCTCCGCAGAATTCAAGGCGACCTCTGAGGCTTGCAACCAGGGACCAGGCAGCCTTTGGGGCTCCTCCCGTTGATCCAGGACTATCCATGAAAAAGATGAGTTTTCCTACCAGCCTGAGACACGCTTGGAAAAACCTGCGTCGGACCCCACAGTTCCTCTCCCCCGGCCTGCCCTGGGTCCACACAACCCCCGGGAGTAAAAGGTGTTTGCATTTGTGGGTGTTTGCATCCAGAAAACAGGCCAGAGTGGATGGATTAAAGTGTAATCGAGCCACTGGACTAGTTCGCCATGCTGGGGAAGCCCTGAAAAACGGGTTAGCCGTGGCTGTGCCTCGCCTGCATTCGGGCAGCAAGGAAATTCCCTTCCTGCCCCACCTGGAGGGCAGCTCCTCCGAGGCCTCTAATCCAAGGATCTACCCACCCACAGCAGCGCCGTTTCCTGCACGCTAAGCACCACTTGTCATCCCAGAGCGGATTTTCCTGTCTCTGGGCCGCCGGCTTTGCTCAGCGAAAGCAAGCCAGCCAAATCACGGGATACGAAGGGGGCCAGGACGAGGGCCGGGCCCGGAGCCCACGGCGGGAGGGAGGAGGCAGAAGAGGGCATCCACGCCATTGCCCAAAGCCACCTTTTGGCCTCTGCCGTCTGTCGCAAGCAAGCGGGCAGAGCCTTCGCCATCCTCCTGCAGCCCAAGGATTAAGCCCGCGGGCCCCGATCTCACCTGGGGGAGCAGGGCTGGGGGGCGCCTCCAGAGCCCGGCAGGCCCTTCCATCCGTGCGGAGCTCGTACCCTGGATGGCAAGCGCAGCGGTAACTCCCGGCCAGGTTGACGCAAAGCTGGCTGCACCCATGTCTCCCAGACGCGCACTCGTCCACGTCTGCAGCCAGAGGAGGAGGAAGCCCTGAGCAAAGAGGACCCCTGGCTGGCGGAAGCAGCCCCCTTCCCAGCCCTCGTCAGTTAGTTATTGCGTCAACTTATAACAATACATTTCAATAATAAAAAAAAAATTATTTTTGCACAGAGGAGGAGGAAGGGACGACGACATACAATCTGGCTGTCAAGCCACATCACACCATCTCCCAGGATGGGCGTATCTAACATGCCAGCCCAATGCCCGCTGAAAAACCTGACTTTCAATGCCTTACGAAACCCTAGCAGCAGTTTGCTAGCCTTAGTTCTTGCATGAACTAAGTTTATACAGGCCGAGGTGCAGAGTTACAATGGATCCATGTGGCATCTGGTCAGTCTCTAAAGACCAAACAGGAGAACTGTAAAGGCAGCGAGGGGATGTGGAGGGCGCGGCAGAGGAGAACTTCAGCAGAGGGCCCCCCAAGACAAGCCAGTCCCGCCTCCTCTTCTGCCGGCCAGCCAAAAGAATGTCTGCTCCACATTTCCCCCACCTCCCACCCTCTCTTGCAAGGAGAGGGACTTTTGTTGGGGAAGAAAAAGAACTTCCTGGGACTAAGGATGGCTTTGGGAGGGGGCGCACTCTCAGGAGGGGCTTCTGTGTGTGGAGATGCAGCAGGAGTGATCCTAGACAGGTATGGCCCATCATGGAGCTGGACTAGATGACCTCTGAAGCCTCCTACAGCCCATGGGGGATTCTAGAGAGGCATGTCCTGGGAGGGCCCTACTTCAAAAATTGCAGAGCTCTCCAGACTGGCATGAAAGTTAGTTCTCACCAAGTCAGAGAGAAGTCAGAGAGTTGCTGGGAGTTAGGCCGCATATACATTTAAGAGGGAGGGGGA